GGAGCAGAGACAGATGGGTATGAAGGATGGCTCCCTGCAGATGGAGGCAGACACAGCTAGTTTACCACCCAGTGTCCTCTGATTTGGTTCAATGAGGCAAAGTGCCCAGTTCAAAATCCCCCCGCCCCCTCCCAGACATTCTTGCAACTAGAAGTAGTTGTAAGATCCAGTTCTGGCCCATGAAACATGGGCAGAATCCAATGGCTGGAGCTTGTGGCTAACCTCTTTGGAAGGAAATGCCCCCTTTGGCATTTGGTCTTTCCTTTCCTGGCACCTGAAAACAGCTGTGACGCCTATAGGAGGAGCAGCCATCCTGTCACCTGAAATTGAAAGCAATATTCTAGAGCTGCAGATGCGAGGGCAGAAGGAAGGAGCCTCGGTCCTCGATGACTTTGTAAAACTACTTACTTTATAGTGGAGACAGATGGAAACTCAAGTAGTCTGACTCCAGAACCCACTTTACAATTGATTTGACCAGTGTCTGTGGTAGGGGGTTGGGGGAGGGTGGTCTCCTTTCATTGGAGCTCAACTCTCAGATGACTCTACGTAGGAAGCCTTGCCTGAGCCCCAGAAGAAATCAAGAGGCCCCCATTTTGTAGGTTTGTGGCTCACGGGTCTTTTCCCCCAGGCAGTTACCACAATTATTTGTGCCACTGTTTGTATAATGCCTGTGTCCATTACCAGATTCTGAGCTTTGCAAGGGTCTAGTCAATATCTCTATCTCCATTTGTCTATATCCACATTCACATCCCTATCTATATCCATATCAATATCCACATATCTATCACCTATCTATCTATCTATCTGAAACTATTGTGTCCCTAGTGCCAGCACAGTGCCATGTATGGCATAAGTCCTCAAGTCTTTGCTAAGTAAGTGAATAAATGAATGAATGCATTGAACGAAAGCCATGAGTAGAAACGATATCTTCAGGCTCCTCCATTTCCTTTATTTCTACTGAGAAGACATGGATAAACACGTTGGAGAGTCCTTGGTTCTTTATAAGAGCACCGAGAGCTCCGAGGATTCGGGGGCTGATTATTCAATGTGTCGTCTCTCCAGGGACTTCCTCTGAGCACCACCTGGCTTCTTAGGGTGCAAACCGATCCTAAGGGCATGTCTATTTCCCTCTTTAGGAGAGCTCTGGTGGAAAAAAGGTTGGTCCCGCCTGAAGTCTGGGGATCTGGTGGGTGTGATTACTGAGAGTCTTGCTCTCTGCCGTTGCCCTGACTGTCCCCCACCACTGTTCGATCCCCGGGGCTGGTGGCAGAAAGCAGCAAGGCTTTCTGCAGCTCTGAATCAGGGCTGCATTTGCATCATGCCCTGTCAAAGCCACATCAAAGGCTCGAGGTGGGTTGCCGGGTCTACACTGAAAGTCCTCGGGAGCCACAGCTCAGGGAGGCTCGGGGTTCCTGAGGCAGCCGCTGGCTACCTGGGGGACCAGGTACTTTCCTGAAGAGAACACATCATTTAGCTCTTCCTGTGATTTTACTGTAAACTCTTGGTTTATTACGCATCTAAGAGGAAGGACGGGGAAAAGAAAGAGATACAGATACAGGGGACGTTTGATCTGAAAGAAGCACAGCAAATAACACCAGGTTCTTACATGTTCAGAGCAGTGAGACACAAGCCCCCTTCTGAGAAGTGGAGACCAAGGCCCAGAGAGGGAAAGTGACTGCCCGTGGACCAGGAGGCTGAGAGGCAGGAAGAAAAATCCAAGCCTCATGATGCTTTGCCCACTGCTCTTTCCACACATCTGGACAGCCACTTTTCCTGAGACCCCCCAAAGAAGGAGGGGAGGCAGCTTCATACACTGAGGGCCACATAGCTCATGGCAAAGTGCACTTAGATGTCCTCCATTCTACCAGGTGCCAGTCACTGCATCGGGCATCTTGAAAACACAGAAATGAAAAAGCCAAGGGCTCTACCCTCACAGAGCTCCCAATCCAGTGGGGGAGACAGCTACACGCACAGCTCAAGCCAACGCCAGGCGCACTGGGAGAAGGACTAGAAGGGCACAGAGGAAGCATGGAGAGGGGGAGGATGGGAGAGATATGGTAGACTGGGAATCAAAAAAGGTCTCCTGGCCTTTGGGGTGAGCGTGTGTTCACTGGAGGAAGAAAAGTCACTGCAAGCAGAGGGATACACACGGCAAAGGCCTCAAGGCGGGGAAGTACGCGGTTACATACTGGTGAGTCAGCGCTCTGATGACTCTTAGCTTGTTTGCGGGTGACAGTTGCAGAGAACTAACTAGGAAGGTAATTCCAACCAGCCCTGAAACCCCCAAAGCCAGGAACCTGGGCTTGTTCATGTCCGAGTGCCCAGTACAGGGCTGGGCACAGAAGAACCAGGCACTGAACGAACAGCATTGGGGCCTGATTGTGGAACCTTTGGGCCTTAATGAAATGTACAAGAGTGTGAACAACGTCATCTACTACTACCTTGGAGTTTGTGTAGAAAACCCCCCACAAAGACCACTTACAAAGCAGTACCTATCAAATACCTTATATTCTGAAGCATGAACATTCTATGTCAAGACTTGAGGGCAGGTGGCCAGACTGACCCCGTCACTCACCTGCAGGCTTTAAGAAAGGGCTTGCAATTCATTCTTCCAGAGGATGAAGACGTCAAAGAACTGGAGCCTTTACAGAGAAAGCATTTGCCGGGGTGCTTTGGTTTCCTTCATCCTCATCCCATCACAGGGGAGGGGAGGGGAACGCACTTCCCCCAACCTCAATCCAAATGAAGGGTCTTTCCAGAGGCTACACAGAACGTTCCACCCGAGGCCCCTGGAGTGTGATGGGTTTGAACTCTGGTAGGGAAGGGAAAACTACCTACTGGATCCTTCAAATCTCAACTTATTTTATACTTCGTATTTCTGAAATTGAACATAAATAGGACATATTTACATTCAGAACGTATCTGCAGCATGGCGTGGCGTTTTCACTCGTTGGAGTGATTTGCAGATTTGCCCTTGCTGTCGTATTTAGACCCAGTTCCTTCCGTTTTAATTGCTGTAGGATATGCCATCATGTTTCATTTATGCATTCCTTTATTCTTTTTTTCTAAACTACAAAAGGAATGGATGATCAATACAGAGAACTTGGAATATAAAAGAGGGGATTTTTTAAAGCCTATTACACAGAGTGGTGATTTAGACGAATCAATCCTAGAAGCAGTCTGCAGCATGGAGGCTGGATTGGTGAGGCAGAAACAGGAGGCAAGAGAGAGAATCCTGGTTTGAGTTAACAATAACCTCGGCACACAAGTGATGACTGGGAGCCAGGCTTCACAGCCCGATTTTGCTCAGACTGCAAACCCCAAGCTCTTTTTCAGGATGTCATGTAATATATCAGCAATAGGGTGCCTGTCAAGACACCAAACAGGGTGTCTGTTGAAGAGATGGATTTTAAAGTTATGCTAGTCATTCTTCTATTTAGATATGGAAAAAGAAATTGCTTCAAAAAACACCTTCTGGGACCCCTGAGTTACATAAATGTAGGTGATACTCAGGGGCAAGGAGAGTCAGGAACTGCATCTTGTATCATTGCGCCAGAGCTGTTACTTCCACAGACCAATTGTATACAAGGCAGCTTGCTGAGAAAGAGGGATCAAGTTATATAAGGGGTACAGGGTGGGTCTTCTGGGAGAGAAGTGACAAGAGGACTCCACTGCTGCTCACTGAGATTTGATCAGAGGTCCAGGGAAAGGCAACAGACACCAGGAATAGAATTACCTTTAGGAAAAGGAAACACAAGCTAGCATGCAACACAGGGAAAGCTGGTTCAAGTGCAGTACTCAGGTAGAGTGAAGTGAGGTGGGCACAATTGCCTGGGCTTAAGAATGTAATTAAAAAGAACCATTACTCTGGAGACCAAGTAAGATTTTCAGCCTGGACAAGGACCTGGACCAGCAAGCACATTACTGCAGACAGGAAAACTAGCCACAGGGCTCTGCAGGACTGATCTACAACAGCTTCACTGTGTGGCAGGAAGAAGCAGGTGCTCAGAACCCAGTTTTCTCTCTGGGCTTGCAATTTATTAAAGAACTGATTCTCCTAGAACTGAGTAAGTATCTAAGGTTCCTAGAAAATCTGGAGAAGTGGCAAGAGTATTAAAATGAAAAGGAGGGCTTCCCTGGTGGCGCAGTGGTTGAGAGTCCGCCTGCCGATGCAGGGGACACGGGTTCGTGCCCCGGTCCGGGAAGATCCCACATGCCGCGGAGCGGCTGGGCCCGTGAGCCATGGCCGCTGAGCCTGTGCATCCGGAGCCTGTGCTCCGCAACGGGAGAAGCCACAGCAGTGAGAGGCCCGCGTACAGCAAAAAAAAAAAAAAGAAAAAAAAAAAAAGAAAAGGAAATACTTTCTTTCCTTCTAGTGGGAATGTAGGCTAACAAGCAATAATGAGTGTGACCTTATTCATATCCATCACAGGTTGTAGGGATTTTAGAAAAACCTTTTCTCCAGTCTATCAAACTCTATTTTCACGTACTTTCCCCAGTTCATATTTCGAAAGTCAAAAAAAGTGGGAAGCCATTGCCTAAAGCCATCCTCACCCACCACCCAAAGATAGCCTTAAAAAAGAAAAAAAAAAGAATATCTACCTATTTTTGTGAATTTCATGCATGTCTCATTGAATTAACATTGGATTATGACATTCTTAGATTATTTGATCCTTGGAATCAAAATATGGAAGTGGCAGAGGAAAAGAAGCTGAAAGCATTAAGCTCTAGGAACCGTCTGATATTAACGGAACTCACTTCTAGTACTGATGCTGTCCTACCCGACGGGGCTAATCTACAAATCCCAGAAGGCTCTCCTTGCTCAGATGGAGTAAGGCAGAATGGAATTTATGCAGGTGAATGCGAATTCTTGCTCTGCTATTGATGAGCTCTGTGACCTGGGGCAAAATACGTAAACTCTTGAAGCTTGTCATGGGTACAATCACACAGACTTTATACTAGTAATATCAGTTCTGGGTATTTTATGAGATAACACTTACTAGAAGGTGGTGGGAACACAGTAAATAGTGGATGCAGGAGATGTGTTATCCATCTTTTCCTCCCTCATTCCTGCATTCCTCTGACTCTACCCTGGAAAATCCAATTTGTGGATTACAGGCTAGGCATGAGGGATGGTGAGTAGCTGTGGCAAGCATTCCTACACGTTCCCCCAAGGGATGCTCTCAGCGAGTGTACCTATCACCCACGCAGCCCTGGGGGAACTAGGCTGCAAGTTGGGGTCTCCAGCCAGGTCCCTGGTGCTGTGCGAGGCCATGGTACTCTAAGATAAGGTGGAGATCCCCAAACGCCTATATCTCTGCCGCAGGCAATCCCATCGAGCTGAATAGCTCCAGCATTCTAATTGGGTGTGGGAGTTTATGTTAATAGATGCTAATATCAGTTTGAAAAATTGAGAGGTATTCTCATAATACCATGTATTTGAACTGTCTCCTAAACATGCATATATGCATTATCTCTTTTGGTCTTTCCAAAAACTCATGAGGCTCGCTGGGCAGGTACAGGTATCTCACCTTAGCAGGTAAAGAAACTGTAGCTGAAAAGTGAAGCATTTTGCTCATGGTTACAAAATTAGTAAGTAGTAGAAGTGAAGCCAAACCCAGAGGGTTCATCTTTATAGAGACATATTGGGTCAAGGGTATCCTCAGTTTTTATATCCATCCATGTCTCTGGGTATCAGCAGTATGACTTATTTTAGTGCCTGGTCATTGTGTCCTGTCATATGCCCCACAGGTTACCCATCCCATCTCACTGCTAAGTGCATTTATTAGTAGCCATGAGATTGTTAAAGAAATGCAAAGGGAAAAAAAAGGAGAAGTAATCACAATTCTTTTAATTCATACTTCATGTTAACACTTGCTGCAAATGATACACTCCCAGCTCTGTAGTAGTTTTTGAAGCCAAGATCCTGGATATCCCAGTATATGCTAGGAGAGAATTATATTAACTTATTATTTCATCTGAAATTAAAACAGCAAGTATTCTGATGAACAGGAAGACATCTTCATTAAGAAAAACATGTTAAATATGGAAAAGTATAAAAACGAAATATTCCATAATTCCAAAGTATGTATGTGTGTTTGTGTGTATGTGTGTTTCTGTGCTTTCCTTCTTTTCTCTGCTTATGAAACTTGTGACCCTGGGCTTCCCTGGTGGCGCAGTGGTTGAGAGTCCGCCTGCCGATGCAGGGGACACGGGTTCGTGCCCCGGTCCGGGAAGATCCCACATGCCGCGGAGCGGCTGGGCCCATGAGCCATGGCCACTGAGCCTGCGCGTCCGGAGCCTGTGCTCTGCAACGGCAGAGGCCACAACAGTGAGAGGCCCGCGAACCACAAAAAACAAAACAAAACAAAACTTGTGACCCTGACTCTATTCCACTTACACTCACACTCTGTGGGCAGGAGAATCATAAATCCTACTGTTACCTCCTTTCTACTTACAGAGTGCAGTGTGGGGACACCATGACTAGGAATCTTATTTGGCCAAAGATGCCGAAAAGCTGCTGTTTCAAAATTTCCTCCTGGTCTTTTCGTAAGCATCACTGGGTCCATGCTTTATGATGGTACCCCTTCCTTTAAAAGTAGACAGGTTCTGGGGGACTGCCAGTTCCCCCAAAGAGACCTCCATTTATCAGGCAAAGTTGAGTTTTTACTCGTCACATAAGGGAGAACATCACCTTGAGAGGGTTCTAGTGTATCTCAGAAAGGGGAGGTCAAGGGTGTAGTCAACAGTGTAGGATAGGAAAGTCCTGAAGGGTGTGTTCATGAGTAAACAGTTGTTTGATGAGCAAGAGTGTTTGCCCTGTTGAGTAATCTACTGTCCTGAGAAAGGTGATATTTGCCCAGGTGAGCATTCAATCATCCTGAGCAGAATAAGCTGCTGAGGTTAAATGAGGTTATTTACTGGTTTGCAGCTTTATCTTTCTGGGGAAAAATTTTCTGGAACAAATTATAAAGTCACGTTGGGCCTCAGCTTCAAGTCCTGATCACTGAGCTCTAGAAGTGCAGGTACCTCCATCCACCCTGGAAACCAGAGGATGAACCAAGAGAGGAAAGACTGCTCTCCATCCTCACCGAGCCCTGCTCCCATGATGGGAATGCTCACACAGTGGGCTGCCTTAGAGAATTAATATCTGTATTAATATGAGAGGATGAAGATGTGTTTGAGTGGTGCGTGTGTGTGTGTGTGTGTGTGTGTGTGTGTGTGTGTGTGTGAAAGGAGGGGGGTGGAAATCAGGAAGAATCCTCAATTTCTACTTCTCACTGGCAACAATAATTTAATAATCATCAAACTTGGATATTCACCAAACTGGAGGAGGGAGTGTATGGTTTAGCTCCCAGAGGGACATTTGGCAATGTCTGGAGACATTTTTTGCCATCTCAAGGGGGAGAACAGTGTCATTGGCATCTAATGAGGAGAGGACAAGGACGCCGCTCAGCATCTTGCAAAGCACGGGACAGCCCAGCCCCCGCCTGCAACAAAGCACTGTCCAGCCCACGATATCAAGTGTGCAGAGGTTGAGGAACCCTGAATTATAAAAAAATAAAGGTTCAGGGCTTCCCTGGTGGCGCAGTGGTTGAGAGTCCGCCTGCCGATGCAGGGGACGCGGGTTCGTGCCCCAGTCCGGGAAGATCCCACATGCCGTGGAGCGGCTGGGCCTGTGAGCCATGGCCGCTGAGCCTGCGCGTCCAGAGCCTGTGCTCCGCAAAGGGAGAGGCCGTGGCAGTGAGAGGCCCGCGTACCGCAAAAAAAATAAATAAATAAATAAATAAAGGTTCACTCAGGACATACGAAGAAGGAGGGCAGAAGCAGGGACCAGGAGACAGGAAAGCAAGGACAGGGAACATGAGGACCCTCTGGAAAGCAGTCAACTTAAAAAGTGGCTTAGAACAATATCGTACATACTGTTAGTAATCCTTTATAATGGTTCAGCATTGTAGTGAAGCACCATTTCTGTTTAACATTCTAATATTATGGGACAATTATCTATCAGAGAGGACGGGGGGTACCCAAACTCACACAGCAATGTAGCATGAGAGCTGGGTCTTGAACTTAGGACATCTAATTGTTTACTCTTCCATACCATGCATTGCGCTCAGCGAGCTCATCCAATTACAGTCTATAAAAATACATTCCAGAAGATCTATTGCATAAATTAACTATTCTCCTTTGAATCCTGGAGATCAGAATCTCCATTTGCCCGTATAATTGGTGTTTTAAACAGCTTCCATAAAACTCCAGTGATCTGTGTAAACTACCCATGATGCAATAGCGGTTTACTTGAGCAAGAGACAGTCAGTCATAAAATAAAAGTATCAATGACATCTTGCTGGTGGCATCAAAACAATAAAATATAATCCTAATGTCACTTGCTTCCTCCAGCCCTTTAAAATCCAGATAAAGTTGACTCAAATCACTAACTTCATGCTCCATGGAAAAGCAAAGCCTGTAAGATTTCTGCAGATTTCCAGGGAGGGATTGCATTCTGACGTCTCCAAATCTGGGTTCCTCATTTTTCAAGTGCTGTTTATTCCACATTGCTACAAACCAGACAAGAAATCCAGCCCTTCCTCAATTCCTACATTCACTTTCACACACACGTGTGGCATCTTGCACAAAGAGCTGATAAGTATAGTATACTTACTTGAAGATTTACATAGGAGATAGGAAAGGGGTTACATACCAACAACTTCAAATTGAACATTAAAGATCTTCCTTGTGAAGCTTTCCTCTGGCCACCCTGCCACAAGGGAATTCCCATGGGATGTTTTTCCCAGGGTCACCTGGAAGCGGTAGAGGCACTCCCTCCATGTACTCATAGACCAAGGGACGTGGAGAGCAAAGCACTGGTTTCATTGCAGCCCTAACCTGGCCCCTCAGCCAGCCAACCTGAGCAATGGCGACTCTCAGAACCTGCCAGTGGCTCTGCCTTTACCCCATGTAGTCCTCAGTCACAGACCAGCTCTCTAGTCCCTCCTTCCCCCCACCCCCGGCTCCCTTATATGTCCCTGATTTCTCCTTTTCCTCATTGATACAGATAGAGACATATCTCTAAATTCCTCTTAGGTTCCCAAGTTGGACAGCTTAGCCCGTTTTTCTTTTGCTTGAGCTCTTACCAACCCTCTTGGAGTCTTACCTGCCACTCAGAGTGACTTGACATGGGAGCTTTCCAAATAAGAAGAATCCCTTGATAGATGAATTCTGGCACCAGCTATTAAGACAATAAAAAGTTTACTGAGTTAGAAAACAAAAATATACAATACCTCCAAGACATTTTTTTTCACAGAGGAAGGTACATAAATATACCTCCCTGAAAAGCTGAGGCCAGGGGTGGAAGAGATCATAAAGTCCTGTCAAATGCCCCATTCAGTAGTTGTCACTCTTTGATCCACCTCCAAGAAGGGCCTGACCAGCCTCTGCCTAATGGAGAGTCATTCTTTGCCAAGGCAATTCTGACCCACTGTACCTGCCATCATTGGACCTGGTTCCATCACAGGATGAGGGACAGGTGATACTTTTTATGGCTCCCACGGCACAGGTGCAAATGTTTTAGCAAAGAATTTGAGAGTCTTCACTCTTTGGAAGCCACCTAAACCTCTAGCCTTCCCTCCTTCTTCTCTCCCCTACACACTCTGGTTTTCATGCCTCCGGCCTTTGTATATGTTGTTTTTCCTGCCTGGAATTCTCTTTGTCATGTTTCTAAACCTGGAAAAGTTCTGTTCATCTCTAAAATCCACTGCAACTTCCCCAGGTAGAGCAGTTCAATTGCTCCTTTGTTTTCTGGGAGGTCTCCTACATATCTTTATTATATAGCACATAGCAGACCATACTGGAAGGTTTTGTTAAATCCTCAACCTTCCCCTACTACATAAAAGAAACTTCATCATCGATTTCTCCAGCTTTTAGCACAAGGCCTAGGCCACTGTGCATAATATACATTATTACTGAATTACTGTACTGAATTACTGCACAAAAACTGTATCCCCTCTTTGACAGCCTTCAAATGCATGAAGACAATGACCTTGCCCATCCTATTCATCTCTTCTCCACCGAGACTCCTAGAATCTTTCACTAATCCTTCCTTCACATGGACCCTGGCTCCCTCTCCATCTTTGTCCCCCTCCCTTGTATACATTCCCATTTCCCAAGGTCACTCTGACAACTGGGACACAATGTCATACTTTCAGGAGAGCCCTGCAGCTTCTCAAGAACTGGCACCTGGAGGAAGAAGTGCTCATGTAAATATTCAGGACTGCACTCCCCTACAAGAGCAGGGATAGGGGCCCTCAGATCAGGCAGGGCCAGGCTCCTAGACCTGCCTCAACATTAGATGGGGTCCTTGGGTACATTTGCCACACACCTGGCCAACTCCAGAGTCCTCACAGCTCTGAGCTCTGTCCTGTGCACTCTACTTGCACAACTGCCAACTTCCAGATTTTTTTCTGCATAGCTGGAAGGATATTTACATTTTTTAAATAAAATTTTGTCATCTCACACATGCCATTTTGTAAACTGTTTTTCCATGCAAAAATCATGCTGTGCACAAGTACCTTTCCAGGTTATTAAAGACACATCTAACACAGGGATTCTTAACATAATGTTCCATGGACTGACTTTAGGAAAATTGAGATTTCTAAAATTGAAAGTTGACGTTTATGTGTATGTGCATATATGGCTTTTTATGGGGAGAAGATCTACGGTTCCTGGAGACTCAAAAGCGTCCATGAGCCAAAAATTAAGAGCAACCCATCATCACTTTTATTGGACACACAATATTCCACTATACGATTGTGCCACGCTTTATTTTAAAAATCCCCTCTTGTTGGACATCTAGGCTGTTTCCACTGCATTGACACTACAAGGAATTCTTCTCTGGCTCTTCCTGTGGACACAGGTGCTCATTCATTCATTCCTTCAGATGAATCCCAAGAAGAGAATTGTTTGCCTAAAGGACATGAACCTTCTGAAGGCAATTCTCTGGTTCTTATTTGATTCCTATTTGAAGGTTCTAGCCCTTGGTTTTTCAAGTCCAACTCTGGACCATCTCAAGCTCTGCTCTGAAGCTCCCCCCCAGTGCAGCATCATCTCAAGTCTGCTTTCATCCAGCCACCCTTTGCTCCAGTCAAGTGACTTCATGGCGAGCTCCTCTGGCTTCTCTCAGCTACAGGCAGCCTCCCTGAATGGATCTGAGACAGACCATTGGACTCAGTCTCTACAGACTTTTGCTCAAGCTACATCTCTGTCACATACTATCTGTGAAATCTTTGCCAATTCACTCAACTCCTCTGTGTGACTGGAGATGATCATTTTTGCCCTAAGAATAAGTGTCTCATTTTACAAGTGAAAAATGTGACCCTGACATGATGTGACTTATTCAAATAATGACCTTCTTTGCACTCCAGGCTCTAGAAGGACACGTGAGGATTTAGAAACCGAGGCATCCCTTGGAATTTCCTTATGAACTATCTTGGCATTTCCCTACTTTCCACCAGAGGCATAATGAAAAGCTTCAAATTTCCAAAGAGGCATTTAGTGATGTGAAATTAACCATGTGAGTCACAAAGCAATTCAATTCTGGATTAACTGATTGAGAGATTATTTCAAACCTTCTCAAAATGGGGCGGGGGAGGGGAAGACTAATCGTTTTCAAACTGAAACCTGAAACCTTTAGGGAAAAATCTCCATGTGCTCTTTTCCACCTTCTTCTCCACCGTGAGTTATGTCTGCCAAAGCACTAGGTGAAAGCTATGGGGTGAGCCCTGAGCCACAGGAACGCATCTGCAGAGACAGGTAGCTGGGGAGACAGAGGAGAAGTTCTGAGTCTCTAGGCAGAGCTTCACTCGTAATGGCAAAGCTCTAGCCTCACAGCCTGGTGTCCTCTAAACAACCCTACGTGTCCCAACATGACAATGGTACTACCTGCTTTAGGACTGCACTAGATAGATAGAGTATAGGTTTGGCTGGTGTAACATAGACCCAAATTGGCAATGGTACAAGCAAGGTTATGTGTTAGTTCTCTTTCCGGGGCTGGGATGATGCCTCCATGATTATCAGGGCAGCAGATCACAGCATCCACTGGAGTCCACTGCCTGTGCTGCTTGGACCCACTTCTTCATATTAGTTCTGGAAACATTCCTTCAGGATTCTAAAAGGTTTATAGGGAAAGTACAGCCCCGACCATCCTGCTATTTGTCTTGGGGCTTTAAGTCAGTCATCATTCACTGCTCCGCTATGCATTCTAGATTTTCCCTAACCCTCAGCTAGAAGTTAATGGCATGACCCATTCACCCATTCATCCTGGAAGAGTCTGAGGCCATGGTCACCTGCCCTCCTTAGACTGTGACTGCTGCATTTGTCCATTTACTATCAAGATGGGGTAGAAGAGGGCTTCCCTGGTGGCGCAGTGGTTGAGAGTCCGCCTGCCGATGCAGGGGACACGGGTTTGTGCCCCAATCCGGGAGGATCCCACATGCCGCGGAGTGGCTGGGCCCATGAGCCATGGCCCCTGAGCCTGTGTGTCCGGAGCCTGTGCTCCGCAACGGGAGAGGCCACAGCAGTGACAGGCCCGCGTACCACAAAAAAAAAAAAAAAAAAAAAAAAAAAAAAAAAGATGGGGTAGAAGAACACCAGCAGAATGCCAAAGTGGATCACCTGGAGGCCAAACATTACTTCTTACCATTACTGAGCACTTTCTCCTCCTTATCAGAAATAACTATCTTCATCAGGATGGTGACTCCTCTTCTTGCATGATGCTCCCCTGGGACAAGGAGCCCAAAGCTCCCTGGAAACAGTAATAGACTATATTTCAATGGTCTCTCTCCATGTTCCCTTGAAAGTATTCCCTTTTGTTAACCAAGACCTCCAAACACTCAGTGTTCAGATTTTCCATAACGGATGCATAAATTCTCCAAGTGAGGATACTCTCACTGCTACCTCCCTTGGTTCCCAGTCCATATATTCTACCTTTTGAGGGCACAGTGACATACAAAGATCATTGATTTAGAATATACACTGCAGCCTGGAAGATGACACATCATTCTAACACTAGGGCCTCAGCTGTGTCTTCAACAAGCCATTCCATCACTCTATTAGGTTGGCAATTTCTGGATGAGTGGAATGTGATATGATAAGTGAATCTCCAAAGCCTCTTTAACTGTAGAGTGGGTCCCCCCTCTCCCAGTCTGACACACTGTTACATGGGATCCACTGGCAGTGAATGGTACAGTCTTAAAGCTCCCAGATAGTGATACCAGGTGAGGCCCGGCAGGCAAGAAAGGCAAAGCCACACCTGACCTATGTACCTATTCCTATCAAAAGGAATCACTGCCCCTTCAAAGTGAATCTTCCTAGGGTTCATCTCCTGCCCCCTAGGAAGAGTGTGTATGTGTTGTTAACACCTCTAACGTACTTGACAGTTCTTACATATATGGTCCAATTATCACGACATCATGAATATAAGTGTGATATTCTTCCTAATGTTCAGACAGTTCAGGTTTCCTCGGAATATATTATGACAGAGGGAAAGAGAGCTAAGATAGCCCTGGGGCATGACTAATGTATACTATTGTATGTTCTAAGTGAATACAAACTGTATCTCACTCCCTTTTCTGATAGGGATGGAAAGAACACATTTGTCATACAAGTGGCCACATTCCATGTATCTAAGACCCTGTTAATGACCCTATTAAAGGTACCACATCTTGTATAACAGCTGCAAGTAGAGTGCCATCTAGGTTGAGTTTGCAGTAGACTCGATCATCCTCCAGGAACCATCTGACCTTTGTAGGGGCCACACTGATGAATTAATGGCAATAAGGACAACCAACCCTATGTCCTAGGTCTTTAAGGTGACACTGATCTCTGTCACTTCCCACAGCATGAAATATTGTGTTGACAATACAAGGGAAACTAGAAAACATTTTGAATGGAACGACAATAGTACCACATATGAAAATTTGTAAGAAACAGATGACACAGTGCTTAGAGGTGAAAGATTACACCATTAATTTTAAATCCTTTTAATTTTCTAATGTAAGTATGCAAAGGTAAAATTTCCCTCTATGTTCCAGTTCAAATGCTGTCTAGTTTACTTCGTATTATCTTATTGGACCTATGGATTATTTAGAAGTATGTTGTTTAATTTCCAAATATTCAGGAATTACCATTTTGTTACTGATTTCTAATTTAGTTCTGCTATTGTCAAATAATATACTCTGCATGATTTCCGTACTTTTAAATTTATTGAGAACTGTCTCATGGTTCAGCACACAGTCAAGTCTATCTTGGTGGATGTGCCATGAGTTCTGAACAGAATGAGTATTCTGCTCTCATGGGTAGAGTGTTTGACAAATGTCATTTAGGTCAATTTTGTTGATGTGTTCAATTCTTCTATACCTTTAGTAATTTTCTGTCTCATTTCATAGGAAGAGCATGAAGAGCTCTTTGTAGGAAGAGCAATGTTAAAGTCTCCAAATATAATTGTGGATTTACCTAATTCTTCTTTCTGTTCTGTCCATTTTTGAGTCATGTATTTTAAAGCTCTCTTAATTGGGTAGTTTAGGATTATGTCTTCCTAATGAATTACCCTCATGTTCCTATAAAACGTCCCTCGTTAGTCTTGATAATATTCTTTGTTTTGAATTCTACTTTGTCTGGTATTAATATAGCCAATTCTTCTTTCTTATGATTAGTATGTGCACATTACATCTTTTTTCAATACTTTGAATTCTAACTTATCCGTGTCTTTGTGTTTAAAGTGATTTCCTTATAAGCAGCACACAGTCGGTCTTGCATTTTTATCCAGTCTGGACTGATTTCTGCCTTTTAATGGGAAGTTTACCATTTATATTCAATATAATTAATAATATAATTAGGTAAATTTACCTTCTTGTTATTTGTTTTGGATTTGGCCCCAACGTTCTTTGTTCCCTCTTTTCTTTTTCCCTGTCTTCTTTTGGATTAATTGAATATTTTTTATCTTTCTAGTTTAATTCCACTATTGGGTTATAAGCAATACTTCTTTGTTTATTTGTTTGTTCACTAGGGTTCACAATATGCGTCTCTAACTTATCACAATCTACCTTCAATTAATATTATACTACTTCACATATAAATTAAAAACCTTGTAATAGTATACTTCCATTCACCTCCTCATGTACTTTGATAAATTTTATCATAAAATTTATTCTCACATAGATTAAAATCCACAATATATTGGTTTGATTTTGCTTTCAGTAATCAATCATTTTTACAGAAACGTAATATACTTAAATTTTAAAATTATGTTACATTTACCATTCCTGGAGCTTTTCATTTCTCCCTGTAGATCCAAATTTTCATCATTTATTTTCCTTCCATGTGAAGAACTTCTTTTTTAACATTTCTTGTAATCCAGGTCTGCTAGCCAAAAATTCTCTGTTTTTTTTTTTCTGAAAAAGTCTTTGTTCTGTTTTCAATATTGAAGAATATTTTCGTCAGATATATAAATCTAGTTTTACAGTTTCTTTTTTCTTTCAGCATCTTGAAGACGTTTTTCTATTCTTCTGGCATGCATGGTCTTTTTTTTTTTTTTAATTTATTTTTGGCTGCATTGTGTCTTCGTGGTTTGGTCTTAGTTGCTGCGTGGGCTTTCTCCAGTTGCCGCCAGCGGGGGCTACTCTTCATTGCCATGCGCAGGCTTCTCATTGCGGTGGCTTCTCTTGCTGCAGAGGTTGGGCTCTAGGCGCGCGCGCTTCAGTAGTTGTGGCATGCAGGCTCAGTAGTTGTGGCGCACGGGCTTAGCTGCTCCGCGGGATCTTCCCGGACCAGGGATCAAACCCATGTCCCCTGCATTGGCAGGCAGATTCTTAACCACTGCGCCACCAGGGAAGTCCCTGGCATGCATAGTCTTTGATGAGATATTGGATTAATACATTTATTCCTCTATACATAATTTTTTTCTGGCTGTTTTTAAGATTTTTCTCTTCATCTCTTGTTTTCAGAAATTTAATTAATTTAATTAATACGCGTTTTGTGTGTTTTTCTTTGTGTTTTTCCAGCTTGAGATTTGATGAACATCTTGGATCTGTGGATTTATATTTTTTAATCAAATTTGTAAAATTCCTTGTCATTATCCTTCAAATGTTTCTGTATACATATGAATTTAATATATGACAAATGTGTTTTTTAAGTCAGTGGCAAACATACATCCTATGAAATAAATGGTTTGGAACCTTTATTTTTTTCCTCTACTTCACTCCATTCACAAAATTAACTGCTTTTATATTAACAACCTCACGTAAAGAACAGAAATATAAAAGCTTTCCGTGAAAATAAAAGGATTAGTTTAAGAACTTAGTGTAAAATATTCAAGTTATTGCCCTAGCAAAACCTGTATGTATTTATACAAAAATTACTGGCCCTGATTACACTTAACTATTGGCCAGCTGGGCAGGCACCCCCCAGCCATCCCCCAAATCAGATCTGCCATATGTGATTGTGTGGTTTATGACAACCGTGTTCCAAATATTTTTTTTATCAGCTGTTCTTTGAAATAAAAATGATGAAAATCATGTGTTTCTTTTAAAAAAATGTTCCCTTGTATCTGGTTCAACTGCAACATATAGTAAAACAATAACAATAATGTTTTAAACAAAATAGAAATCTATTTCTCTCTCATGTTAACATAGCAGTTCAAGGTTTATACAGAGGCTTGAATATCATCAGGTACGCAGACTCCATCCCTCTTACTGCTTTGTGACTTCCAGCTTGTGATCCAAGCTCCATATATCTTACCCATTTATCTATTTTATTTTAGCCAGCCAGGAGGAGAAACAGAGGAGAAAATCACGCCCCTCCCTTTAAAAATATTTCCTGAAAAAATGTCAACACTAATTCCATTTATACCCTACGGACAGAATTTAATAACATGGCCATGTCTAACTACAAGGAAGTCTGGGGAATGAGGTTTTGTCCCGGGCTACGGTTTCCAGGTAATTTTCAGGTGCTGCATTACTGAAGGAGGAGGACAGATATTAGGGGACAAATAGCCTTTCTGTATTGCTCATTCTTTCCTTCAACAAAACCGTCTGGCCACCAATATATAAGGCACTAGTAACAGACTCTAAGAATGAACTTACATACAGTCCCTCCCACATGTAACTAAGAACATGTACCTTTTATTCCCTGCCTACAGCCTATTTTCAACCAGTTTTGTGTGTAATTATATTTTGCTGGTTTAGTTCCTACGAATCACCATTACTAAGCTCCACATAGAACTCAGCACTACATTACGCACCATGGGAGATCCTTGAGTGTTAGAACGAAAGAAAACTTCAGAGATCATTTAATCCTTTGTGGTTAAGAAAACTGAGGTCCAGAGAGAAGGGACTTACCCAAGATGCCTGCTTCAATCTCTCTGCTGGCAGGGACTCAGATATCTATCTCCAATCACCACACAGTTGGTCAGGACTCTGCAATTCAAGAAGTAAAAGCTGAGCTTCCCTCAGGATTCCCCTGCTGTGTGAGTCACAGAGAAAAACCCCTGGGGACAGCCAGCAATTAGCAAAGCTGCTGCTCTAAGAAAGCAGCTTGCTAGGCACTTGAACTTCTCACTATTAAATGGGAATTGATCCCACCTAGACTGCTAAAATATCTTTCATACCAGCATCTGTACCTGGAAAGAAACCAGTTAGCGGAACGTGCTGGATTTAACACCATAATCCAACACCAGCTGTGTGTCCTTGAGCACATTGCTTAACCCCACTGAGTTTCAAATTTCTTACCTCTAACTTGGAGGTGATCATCCCTATACTATTGTACTAAAAGGATCTAGTGAAATACCATAGATAATACCTTGAGCACAATACCCGGTACTTGATAAATGTAACTTTGATTCAATTACATTCATGTATCATTGCTTCCAGGAAGAACTTCCTTTACCAAAACCATTTTGGATGAGTCACTACCTCAAATCCTTCAATGGCTCCCAATCACTTACAGAAGAAAGTCCAAACCCCCAGCCTGATGTTCAAAGTCTTTTCTTAAAAAAGGGAAGCTTTGATAAATCCAAGATGGAGCTAAAACATAAGTCAACTGACTCTTGTTCTAATAATCCCTGAACAAATAACTACAGTAAGATGTAGAAGGTTCTACAAGAGAGATTAATATACAGCCCTGGGGTGGAAGGGAGGACCATTTGTCAAAATAATGCTTACATCTTCTCAGCCATTCCCGTCCAGGGATTGGAACACATCCTAAAAGAATAACTGTAGTCATTTCTAGGTGGCAGAGTTGTGGGTAGTTTTTAATAATTTTGTTATCAGTTTGAGTATTTTACATCAGCAGCAAAACATTTTTCATCGGTGTAATAAAAGTAATATGATAATGACAGTAACATATGGTGCCTATAACTGAAGGAAGTAATGAAGAGGGAAGTCTGTGAATGAAGTCCGATATTAGGACATTTAACGACAAGATAACCCCAGTAGTCCCTGGGGTCATAAGAAAGTACATGTCACACAAAGGATCACTGCCAGTTTATTCTATCTCAAGTCCCAAGGTCATTTTTCTTTTTCTGAGACTCTATGGCTACATCTTGAGGCTAGACTTGCAATTGAAGGGCACTCCTCAGCTCTAAGATAAGCGGCCAACAAGAGATTCAGATCTAAAATATAACAGAAAATCATGCAAATCAATAAGAAACAGAAAGCCGCCCCAATAGAAATATGGTAACAGGATACAAACAGTCAACTTCAGAAGAGGAAGCCTCAAAAGCTAACAAGCTTTAAAGAGATGTGCAAAATCATCAGCAATTAGAGAAATGCAAATGACGTTTTGAACCTAGGAAAAATTATAAGCATTTTGCACTAGCAAAAACAATAAAAAAAAGGAAAAATACTGTGCCATAAACTTGGTTGGTGAGGTTGTGGAGAAATTGGAACCCTATACATTGTTGGTGGGAATGCAAAATGGTGCAGCCGCTATGGAAAACATGATGGAGGTTCCTCAAAAAATTAAAAATATAGTTACCATAGGATCCAGGAATCCCACTTCTGGGTATATATCCAAAAGAACCGAAATCAGAATCTTGAAGAAATATCTGCACTCCCATGTTCAATACAACACTATTCACAATAACTAAGGTATGGAAACAACCTGAAAGTCCATTGACACATGAATAGATAAAGAAAACATGGTACATACATACAATAGAATATTATTCAGCCTTAAAAAAGAAGGAAATCCTGCCATATATGACAACATGGATGAAGCTGGAGGACATTATGCTAAATGACATAAGCCAGCCACAGAAGAACAAATACTGCATGATCCTACTTATATGAGGGACCTAAAATAGTCAAACTCAGGGAATTCCCTGGTGGCCCAGTGGTTAGGACTCCACGCTTTCACTGTCAAGGGTGTGGGTTCAATACCTGGTCGGTGAACTGAGATCTCACAAGCCACGCAGTGTGGCCAAAAAAAAAGAAGTCCAACTCATAGAAGTAGAGAATAGAATGACGGCTGCCAGAGGCTAGGGAGAGTGGAAAATGGGGAGTTGCTCAGTGGGGATAAAGTTCAGTTATGCAAGATGAATATGTTCTGGAGCTCTGCTGTACAGCACAGTGCCTGTAATCAACAATACAGTATTGTATATTTAAAGATTTGTTAGGAAGGTAGGACCCATGTTAACTGTTCTTACAAAACAATCAATAATAGTAATAATTACCCAAAGAGGCTCAAGGAAACTTTTGCAGGTGAAAGAAAAACAAAACACAAAACCGAACTAGTAGTGATGTGGGAACTAATGGCCCAGTGGGAGGACATCCTGGAAGGCAAACTAGCAACACTTACCCCCACTCCTTACTCTATGTGTAGATTGTTGGGTATATATCTACACATACCTGACAATCTCCCTCCACGGTGTAAAGCACAAGAAATTCTCACAAAGCTTCATCAGAGGACACACCTGGAGACGTTTATTGTTGTATTTCTTTCTTGGAGCAAATGGGAAGATGGAGTGCAAAATAATTCTGATGCTCATTCCTGGGAAAATGAGTAGGTAAAAGTAGGTAGAGACACAGCATAAAATACGATGAAGGGCTTCCCTGGTGGCGCAGTGGTTGAGAATCTGCCTGCCAATGCAGGGGACACGGGTTCGAGCCCTCGTCTGGGAAGATCCCACATGCCGCGGAGCAACTAGGCCCGTGAGCCACAACTACTGAGCCTGCGCATCTGGAGCCTGTGCCCCGCAACAAGAGAGGCCACGACAGTGAAAGGCCCGCACGCCGCGATGAAGAGAGGCCCCCACTTGCCGCAACTAGAGAAAGCCCTCGCACAGAAACGAAGACCCAACACAGCCAAAAATAAATAAATAAATAAGTTTATTAAAAAAAAAAAAAAACAACCTTCCTTTCAAAAAAAAAAAACCATGAAATATCAGACAAGAGTTCATAGGAATGGTTTAGGTTGTTATAGCAACACTGATGGATCTTAAAAACATTGCCCTTGATGAGAAGAAAGGGAAAACCGGAATGGATACATTTATGAAGATTCAAAATACATGCATATAAAATAATATGCATTTTGAGAGAACTCATGCAAACAGAGAGAGAGACATAAATCCAATAGCATCTCTTTGGCCTCTCCTCCTCCCGCGCTCCCTGTGTGTCTACACTTTCCATGCCAACAATACTGAACTGCCTGTAGTTCCATGAACTCAGCATGCTGTTTCACTATTGTCTGCCTCTATACATGCTGTTCCTTCCCCCAACCCTCCTGTCTGGTTCGCTGACGGATGGGCACACTGAATCTTACTCACTACTGAATCATTGGAGCTTACAGCTTGCTATTTGGCACAGAATAGCTGCTCAGTAAATACTGTTCACTTAAACTCAGTTTAGACAGCTTCAGCAGGCCTCCCCTGCACCACAAGCCCCCTCCTCTCCTTTCCCAATCTTTTTGTGTAATAGCTACCTGTTGTTGAGTACCTTCTAAATCCCAACACCATACTAATATGTCGAAGGCACACGCGTGAAGGTCAAGATTCTGGGAGCTCAGTATGGAAAGAAGACTGGGGTATAAAGTTCCATGTGTTCATTCTCATTTAATTCCCACCACCACACATTTTCTGTAAGATAATCCTTACCACTGTACCTGGCATCCACTAGTCCAGAGCCCCTCTGGTTCATTCCCATAAAGAGTAAACTTCCAGCCATATACCAGGGCATAGGAGAAGATGACACCTCATGCAGTTGCTTGGGGCGATCTAAAGGACCCTTTGCTTTTACAGATTTTCAACCAGTCCTCCTCTTGGAAGCCCCAACTTTGCCCTGTTCAGAAGTTCCAGAATCCAGAACCTATCTAAGTCCCTAGGCTATAAATTTCTTTGCTCTCTTTGTTCTCCAGAACTTCTCAGGTCTGATAATACCAATTGGACCAGTTGTCCATCTGCTTTCCAGCTTTCAGTATCTTTATCATCCCTTCTTCCCTTCTTTTTGTCCTTGAGTTTATGCCATGCATTATGCTAAATTTCAGTTACTGTCATTTTATTGGTGTTTTGGGAGAGAACAGGGATAAATGAGTATGTTCAATTTATCATCTTTAACCGAAGGCTGCCCATTCTCAGACAATTTAAATAGTTAAAAATGTTTTACTTAGTTTGAGGCAAAACAGGCAACTTGGTAAGATCCGTCTCACATTCTTGTTTTTTTTTTTTTTTTTTTTTTGCGGTATGCGGGCCTCTCACCGCTGCGGCCTCTCCCGCCGCGGAGCACAGGCTCCGGACGCGCAGGCTCAGCGGCCATGGCTCACGGGCCCAGCCGCTCCGCGGCATGTGGGATCCTCCCAAACCGGGGCACGAACCCACATCCCCTGCATTGGCAGGCGGACTCTCAACCACTGCGCCACCAGGGAAGCCCCTCACATTCTTGTTTTGACACAGTAAATCTTCAGATATTAGAGAACACCTTCATTTCCCCTTTACACTTTGATTCCTCTCTTCTCCAGGATAAAGACACACCCCCCTCCGGTATTCATTAAAATTATTTTATTTGTGTGTAATAGAAACTACACCCAGCAAACATACAAGAAAGGTTGAGGGGAGATGGGTGCACTGGAAGGAAGAACACCGAGCTAGCTCACAGTTGCCTATGCCATAGATCATTGGTTTTCAGCGTGCGCTCCCAGAGCAGCAGCATACTTGGGAACTTTCTGAATTGCAAATTCTCATGCCCCACCCTAGACCTACTGGACCAAAAAGTCTGGGGCCGGCACCTAGCAATCCATATGTTAACAAGGAGATTCTGATGCACACTCAAGTCTGGAAGCAACTGCCTTAGGATCAGCTATGGTCAAGGACACAGGGACCTCAAGAACAAATCTGGCCACTGTGTTACCTGAGAAACAGCAATTATAAACTGGGGAGCCACTCATTTGATACGAATTACACTCCAACCTCCCAGTAATTAATAGT